GTACCAGCTAAAAGAATAATTTACGAAACGGTCCGTAGCCGTTGTCGTTGAAGTCACTGGAAATCCCATGATCCGTCGCTCGAATCGTCTTTTTAGCGGCAATAAAATCAACGAAAGAACCGACAACGGTTGTCCTTCATGGTCCATAGATGGCATAAAACGAGGTGGGAAACGCTGTGCAGTTTTTCCCGCGTGAGAAAATTTAACAGCCCTTTTCTACGAGATAATTGCAAGGTCCCACAATATGGCGGTCGATCGGAGGTAAAGCTACAGTGGGTAAAAAAGTATTCGTACACCTTTTAAAACAGAACAACTCTTTCAAGAGACTTGAGTTTCTTCGTGAACTTAGAAGGATTAGTTTACTGAATGATGTGTTAAAAAAATATTGAAAAAGTTGCAATTGGTCGGAATCGCGAAGAAAATAGTGAAGGTCGCTTTTTTGCGACTTTTTTTATCTGAGATTGTAATGAAAATGTAATAAATACATTTCGAAGATTTGTGTCAGTTCTATACATGCTGCAACTTTTATTGAAATCGGTTAGTACAGAAAGGAGTAACAGATGTCGAAAGATGTAAGAATTTTCGATTTTTTAAGACAGAACAACTCTTTCAAAATTAGATCAAGTGACTTGAGTTTTTTGTGAACTTAGAAGGAGTATTGTACTAAATAATGCGTTAACAAAAGGTTGAAAAAGTTGCAATTGATCGGAATCGCGAAGAAAATAGAAATTAGACTGTAATGAAAATTTAACGAATACTTCTTAGATTTATGTTAGTTATGTGCGTGCTGAAAATTTCATCGAAATCAGTTAAAGTTGTTATGAGATAGAAGTGGTTAAAAATGTTGAAAATCGCAGTTTTTCGCGACTTTTGACCTACAACTGTAGTATATCTAAAGATTCTTACATATTTCGATGCCGTTACTCGTTTCTGTATTGATCGATTTCAATAAAAGTTGCATGTATATAACTGACATAAACCTTCGAATTGTATTAATTAAATTTTCATTACAGTCTCAGACAAAAAAGTTGTAAAAAACGACATTTACTATTTTCTTCGACATTCTGAAAAGTCGCAAATTTTTCAAAATTTGTTTAACACATCATTTAGTAAACTAATCCTTCTAACTTCACAAAAAAACTCAAGTCACTTGGTCCAATTTTGAAAGAGTTGTTCTGTTTTAAAGGGTGGACGAATACTTTTTTGACCCACTGTATGTAGATTCGACGTGTTGGGATATCGATAGTGGTATTTATAGTGTAAGCATTGATAATATTATTAATAAATTTCATGATAAATGTCATTTATACATTCTATCGATAATAGTAGTACCGTTACAGACTCAATTCTTAATCATTTAAGAAATTGCTGTTTCTTTAACGTGTAAGTAGAAGAATTAACCAAATCCGAAAGAATAGTTATTATTCGAATGAATCTATGCTTTTTCTTTAATGTGGTGTTAACAAAAGTGCAGAAATAGTAATACAATTAATTTACAATTTAACTTTTAAAGTAAGATGTGCAAAGGGAACAATTTCCAATCACCTAAATCATATTATAATATATAATTAA